GGGGCGGGGGGAGGGGAGGCGTTACTGCTATCAACTTCCATTCATCCTGAAATTGCGGAGGGGGGTGGGCAACTTAGAGATTACCCCTGGACACTTGTTACCCTCGCTGCGTGCCTGGGGGTGATGTAAGGGAGCTCACTGCGCTGCGCCCCAGCACACAGTAAACCCAGCAGGAGGAAGCACTGGCTGCGCCAGGCTGGGCCCAAGGAGGAAGGGGGCCACCCACCTGGCCAGGTTGAAGGAGTCGTAGATGATTTGGGCCCGATTGATGACAGGGATGGCCTAGAAGGGGAAACAGCATGTGACCTCAGGCTGGCTGGCGGTGGGGACAGGCCCTGCAGTCTGCTGCCCCATTCTGGGGCTGGGCCTAGGCCAGGGGATGGGGGGGTGGGGGTGGCAGACACCCACCGACGAATTTGACTGCAGCTGATTCTGAATTTTCCTCCAGTTGTTATCGTCGTAGTTCACCTGGTAATAGCCCGTCACGTTGATGTTCAGCAGGACCCAATCATCATTCGTCGTTTGGAATAGCGCGCTCTGGGCTGTGAGGAGGGACCAGCGCTGGGGCGGGGGCTGCTCAGACGGCCATAGCTGACCCCCAGACCTCCTCTCTCCAGGTTTTGGTGAGAGTAGCTTCCTTTGCCGCCTGGCACCAGCTCGCCCTCAAGCCTTTGGGGCGGTAATGCCAAGGAAAGTGGGAGAACGAGGGTGTAGGACTGGGCTGCAGGACCGAACTCCACCTCTGGCTGGCCAGTGACCTCAGACAGGCTCGGTGTGGCCAGGACAGTGACAGTGGCCTGGATGTCTCCATCAGCACACCCCTGGCCACTCAGGCTCAGCTCCTCCTTCTCTCCCTCCTCCTCCCCATCCTCCTCCCCTGCTCTCCTGCCTGCAACGGCTCCATCACACATCGTCCCCGAACCAGAAACCCACACACTCCTCCCTCTCCCTCTCCTCCCATCCAGCCAGCCCCTCAACACTGCTCATATCTTCCTCGGGGCTCAGCCCTCCCTCCTCACTGCTCTCCCTCCTCCTCTCTCACCTCTTCCATCCTGGAGGTCTGACCTAATCACTTCCCCACTGCCCACCTGCCCAGGCTCCCCCTTGCCGAGGATACAACCTTCCTCTCCCACAGTCTGCAGAACCCTCCAGGACCCAGCTTCCCCTCTGGGCACACCTCTGCCCTAGCCACACTCGGTCCCCTTGCTCTCTCCCACCCCCATGCCCTTGCACTTGCTAGTCCCTCTGCCTGGAATACTTTTCTCTGCCCTGTGAGCCTGGATAACTACTACTCTTCCTCTAAGACTCAGCTCATCTCCTCCAGGAAGCCTTCCCTGACTTCTCCATGAAGTTGAATTTCCCTTATTCCCAGCTCCCTACCCCCATGCCCCAGTAGCCCAGTTACACATGCCTCTGATAAAGCACTCAGCATAGCTTTGGTGTGTTTTTAACCACTTGTTGTCCTTCCCATAATCTGTAACCTTGGTCAAGGACGGCTGGCCTTGACCTTTGTTTTTCTCAGTGCCTGGAGCAAGTAGGGCTGCTCATGCTTTGAGAACTTACCACATGCCAGGCACTGTTTTAAGCATTTTATGTGGATTGTCTCATTTAATCCTCATGCAACCTAATTTAGTAGACGTTGTTCTTAGCCCTATTTTACAGATGAGGAAATAGAGACCAGAGAGGGGAAGTAGCTTGCCCAGGGTCACACAGCTGAGCAGTGGCAGAGTGGAGATTGGAACCAAAGAAGTCTGCTCCATTTGTTGAATGAAATAATGAAGGAACCACCAGAACATGAGCCAGGAGCTGGGAGTATGGGATGGGGAATGCTGCCTACTAGAGCAGGGCTGGGTTACCTTCCTCGGTGCCCTGCAGCCAGTATTGTGCCTGCTCTTTACCATTTTTGACAGACGAGATGGGCACGAACCACAGGTAGCTGCAACGAGAGACCAGGAGCCAGGCGGTAAGAGATGGCAGCCCTGCCCTGGCTCCCAGTTTCTGCCCTGCTCTAGCACCAAGCGCCCCATCCTCCTGGCCCCAGGAGGGAGAGCTTGGGTATCACCACTGGGGCTGGGACCACAGCAGGCCAGAGCCTACTACGGTCAGGGGGCCCCATTGCAGCACCCACTCCAGGACTCACTCCAGGGGGCCCCAATGCAGCACACACTCCAGGTCCCTGTTTCAGGGACCCTGTCTGCTCACTTGAACTCTGAAGGGCGGGTGACATTGGACTCAGGGTCAAGGAGGAAGTGCTTCTGGGAGATGGTCCCCGTGTTTGTGTCCACAGTGATGAGAGGGAAGCCCATTTGCAGGATCCAGCGGTCCATAATGTTGCGCACGGAGGTGGAAAGATTGAGGGATGGTGTGTCATCTACAGCCTGAGGGCAAAGCCAGGAAGCATGGCTGTCAGGAGACAGCCACCTCCCACCCCCCACTCACCCAGGGCAACCCCTTGGCCTGGCAGCTCCTGCAGACTCTGGCCTCTACCCCGTGGGGACAGCGCTGTGGGGGAGGCAGTAGAAAGTGCACTGGGCGTGAGAAGCCGGGCCCAAGTCCCAGCTGTGCTACTCCTTGGCGGTGCAGTGCTAGGCCAGCCGAAGAACTGCCCAGCTTCGGTTCAGTCCCCATCAGCTAAATTAAACTGTGTGGCCCCCTATTCCGTGGTCCGCCCTGTGTCATGGAAGGGCACTGCATACTCATGGTTCAGCCTGAGTAACACTGAGAGATGAGAAGGAGGAGGAGACAGAGAGAGGAGGGAAAGAGGTCAAGGGAGAGGACTCTGGGGGGAGGGTGTGTGCGTGTGTGCATGTGTGTGCCTGGGTGCACAGGTGCACATGCGTATGTGCAACGTGTGCGTGTGTATGAAGGAAACGAACCCAGATGGGGATCTGGGGGACAGGCTTAGAGATGGTTTTTATTGTCTTCTTGTCTTTTTCATCTTTTCCCATGCACGTGCATTGCTTTTGTAATAACAACAGTGAAAAAGTCAACGATACCTGTTGAGAAGTGAAACGTCTAAGAATAAGGCAAAAAAAGACGGCCGAAGAGCATGTCAGAAGGGCTAAAAGCTGAGAGGAGGGGAATAGAGGGAGGCAGGGAGAAGGGCTCTGGCAGAGCTGGAGGGATGCCTGAGCATGGAGGAACACTGGGTTTGGAGAGATTGGAAAAAGGAGAAAACCACAGCAAAGCCAGGAGGCCTGAATGGAAGTGGAAGGGAAGGGTAGGGACAGAGGTGCTAGCGTCATCTTGCCGGTGGCGTCTATTCAAGGTCGGGGAGCTGGGCCAAGCCTGTGGGAGATTTAAGCTGGATTGAGACCAGCCCGGAACGAACTCTGTAATAAGGACCTCGGTCCCTGCTCTGTGGTCTGACTGGCCATGGGACCCAGACACCTGGGGCCTGGACAGACAGGGGCAGCAGTGGGGGTAGAGAAGCTGGCTCGGCAGCCGAAGGGGAAGAGGGGATATTGGTGTGGGAGCGACCAGATGCCTGAGGGGCCACATCCTTGGGTGAGGAGAGCCACAGAGAAGGGGGAGGGCTGTGTAGGAGCGGAAATGATGGAGGGACAAAGGACAGTGTGCAGACTCCAGCCCCAGGAGGGAGTGGGGTGGCCCTCCAGAGAGGTAGGGAGGGAGGTAGCAGCCTCTAGGTAAGAGGGGAGTGCGAGCCTGCCTCACAAAACAGAAGCTGCCGGGGTCTGAGCGGACAGGAATGAAGGCGGGCAGGAACAGAGGGTCAGAGTTTGTGCTGAGGTTGGTGGTGTGTGCAAAGTCATGCCTGAGAGTGGCAGGTTGGGGCACAGGGCAGCCGGAAGTGCTGAGTAGGTTAAATGACTAGCTCCAAGTTCCAGGCAGAGGAGAGCTGGACTTGGGAACTGGGATAGCTTATTTCTTCATGGCTAAGCTAAGATGAAGAGACTCATCAGCTCCCCTCACGGAGCTCATTACAGTGTGAGGCAGGCCACTGCCAGGGGTCTTGACACAGGGTCTCACAAAGCTCCTTCAAGACGCCATCATGGCACCCATTTTACAGATAAGCGACTGAGGCTCCAAATGACCTGCCTGGTATGGTAATGAGAATGATCCAGACCTCATTCTCTTACACATATGCTGCCCCTGGGACTTTCAGCATCTCAGGACCCCAACAGAATGGCTTCAGAGGGGCTGGCAGTTACCGACCTTCTGCAAGTGCTCCCATAGGTCCAGGTAGTTGGTGTTATTGTAGGCAAAGGTGTGGAGGTAGGACTGTGGAAAGACAGGCCACAGTGAGGACAAAGCTGGTGTCCCCCAGACTACACCACTCAACCCTGGCGGTAGGCTGGGGCAGGGGGCAAGAGGCAGGCGCTGAAGGAAGCCCACCCACCCCATGGCCGTCCAAGGGGTACTCACCACCAGGCCCTTCCTGAATACATCCTCAGTCAGGAAGCTGGACAGCATCCTGAGGACTGAAGCTCCCTGGGGATGAGCAACAAACAAGAGAGGGGCGTCAGAAGCCTGGACTGGACCACCATCTGACTGGAGCAGGCCCTCTCCCAGCAGAGTCCCCCGCTCCCTCCCAGTGCCCCATCCCAGAGGGTGAGGCTCACCTTGCTGTAGGCAATGGTGTCAAACTGTTCGCTGATCTGGGCAGGCGTGTTGACCTCACTGGCAGGGGAGGACAGCGGGTGGGAGGAGGCCAGTGCATCCACTGCCATCACTTTGTACACGTCATTCACCACCATGAGGTCTTTCTGCAAATCCCCAATGGCCATCAGCTGGCTGGGCAGACTGGCCTGGGAGGGGATAACCCAGGTCCACCCCACTGTGGATCCTGGGGACCCCTAGGCGGCTAGCTCACCAGATTCCAGCTGGGTTCTGCGTAGTCAGCACCCAGGTACTCCACGTAGGAGGCAAAGCCCTCGTTCAGCCACAAGTCGTTCCACCAGGCCACAGTAACCAGGTTCCCAAACCACTGTGAGGAGAGGGGGTCAGCGGCAAGCCACTGGCCTAGCTGTCACTAGTAGTACCCAGAGCTACCCTTCCTCACTGTGACTCCTCCCTGTTACCTGCCAAGTGGGACTCTCTTCCCAGAAGCCCCCTCTGCATCTGCAGTCCCCATGATGGGGGTACCTGGTGGGCCAGCTCGTGAGCAATCACAGTGACCACCCGCTCCTTGTTGCTGCTGGAAGAGGACAGTGGGTCGAACAGCAGGGAGTTCTCCCGGTAGGTCACCAGCCCCCAGTTTTCCATGGCACCCGCGTTGAAGTCAGGCAGGGCAATCTGGTCTGGGGAAGTTAGGCTGTTGGCAGGATGGCTCTGGGTGTGGAACCCCATCCACTGCTCCCCACCATGAGGACCCTCACTCACCAGATTTTTTCAATGGGTAGGATGTGTTATAATATTGGGAAAAGAAGTCCAGGATGGGGCCTGTCACGTTCAGGGCGTAATTGCTGTGGCCCTCTGTGGTTGCACTGGGCCGAGCCCAGATACTGATCTGTAAAGAGGGTGGAGGGTAGGTCAGGGGGCCCCTCCTGGGGCCTGGTGCAGGTGGGCAAGCTCCCCGCTGGGAGGCCTGTCAGCAGAGGAGGGGACTTGGGGATTTTGGGGGGCTCTGGGTCCTAGGCGAGGGGCCTTTGGGGAAAAAGAGTAGTCAGAGCCACCATCTGTCTGATAGCTTCATGGGTATGGGACGTTATTCCATTTTTCACATGGTTAAAGTGAGGATCAGAGAACTTAAGAAGGCAATTGCCTGAGATCACTGAGAGCTATTCAAACGTTGACCTGAAGATCCAGGGGCTGGTGCAGGGAGGAGCTAACAGGAAAGGCTCCAGGCTAGGCTGGTCCCAGGGAAGGAGGGCAGGTGGGCCCAGCTTCATACCTGAACATTGTTGGGTGTTTCTTTCTGTACAGAGGTGAACTCGCTGACAATGTAGGCTAGCAGGTATGTGGACATCCGGGGCGTGGGTTCAAACTCAGTGACATTCCAGGTCGGGTCTCCATCAAATGGGACACTGGGACCTGGGTATGGAGCACACGGGAGTGTGAGGATGAGCCCCCTCCCCTGCCCTGCATCCTAGCCCCAGGGTTCCTGCCCCCCAAGGCTGTGTGGTCCCAGGACAGAAGCCACTCACCTTTGGGTAGCATGTTGGACAGAGCGGTGAAGTTCTTGGGGTGGACGATCGTGATGTTAAATATGGCCTTCATGGCCGGCTCGTCAAAGCAGGGGAAGGATTTCCGGGCATCTGTGGCCTGCATCTGTGTCGTGGCCACCACCCTGCCCAGATACCAGGATGTTAGAGGGTATACAGGCAGAATCCCTGAGTCGTGTGGGTGTAGGTACCTAGGGCCTTAGGGTCCTGCTAGGCTTGCAGGGGAAGGGGGGCATGGACTGCTGTTCTAGCAAAATCCCTGCCCTACCCCCTACTCCCAGCGGCCTCAGATCCCCAGCAGGTCAGCTGATGGTGGCAGATCAGGGCTCCTTCTGAACTCAGGCTCAAAGTTCTGGCAGGCTGTACGCCTATATTAACTGGGGGACCTTGGGTGAGACATTTCTCTCCTCTAAACCTCAGTTTTCCTATCTGTCGAAGGGACACTTTTACCCCTTATCCTTGACTCCCTGATATGGGATAGGGAAGCCCTCCGGAAAAGGGTTTGCTGTCAGGGTAGCTGTTCCACCAGATGCTGCTGATGGAGCGATGGACTGGTGAAGGACCCAGAAGGTTCAAAGACCTTGAACCCAACCTTTACTTGGCCTCCAGGATCCAGCTCTGCCTCAGCATCTAAGATCTGCCCCAACTAGGCAGACCCAGCTCAAACTTACTTTTTGACATCCCCATCCATGTACTCGCTTCGGTAGAAGCCTGCCAGGTCATCAGCCAGCTCCCCCACAAACTCACTGTCCATCTCATACTGGCTGCCTACCACGAGGTCGCCCTTCAGGTGCACCACCAGATAGTCAGTGAGCACGACCAACTCGGTCTTGTCGATTTCAGGGGGGCTGGAGCCCCCTACTCCCCGCAGGGTCACTGGGTGCCCCTGGGAGGTGTAGTTGAGATTCCTGCTGTGGATGATGATGAGATTGGTGGCCTCCATGCAGGTAAAGCGGACGGTGCTGTTGCCGTGGAAGATGTACAGGCCCTGGTCATTGGGCTGGAGGTGGGGCATCAGCCACACCCTGTAGGACTCGGGCATCAATGTTGTGGGCAGGCGGTATCTGTTCCACGGTTGGCTTTGGTCCAAGGTGGTGGCCGTGGTGGTGGCCGAGGTGGGGCTGACGGGGCCCGAGGTGGGGCTGACGGGGCCCGAGGTGGGGTTGACGGGGCCCGAGGTGGGGCTGACGGGGCCCGAGGTGGGGCTGACAGGGCCCGAGGTGGGGTGCTCCAAGCTGGAGTTCTCTGCATTCTTGTTCTTCTCTTTGGCATACACCACAGACAGGGTGACAATGGTGCACACGGCCGCCACACCCAGCAGGATGCCCAGAATGCCCAGGGACTTGGAGATATAGAAGCCCTTGGCCATGGTGAGGGAGGGCTGGGAGCTGGGGTGGCTCAGGATCAGCAGGGAAGAGAGCAGCCTTGGGCCAGGTTTATATCCTTGAGGGGGAGGAGCCCCACAGCCAGCAGACTGGGCAAAAATTAACCAGGGCTCAGACAGACGAAGGTCACTGAACTGGTAGGGGCACGCTGTGCCCAGGGCTCCGGAGAAGGGATCCAGGAAGAGGAGCGTGGAGTGCTGCTCAGGCCTGCCTGCTGGGAGCAAACAGAGTGTCCAGTTACAGGCTGCAGGCTGCCCTGAAGCCGCCTGAGGGCTTAAGGGCAGGCTACAGGATCAGCCTACTGGGTAGAGGGAGCAGCCAGGTAGCATCCATCTGCCTGTGAACCCAGTCGGTGAGAACAGCAGCAGGAGGATTGAGGTCAGAGTCAAGGAGGGACTTCCCAGGAGCAAGAAGTCAAAAATGCACAGAAAAAAGTGGGATTGGTCACTGGCTCCCGTCAAGAACACGCTGGGTCATCCCTTTGGTTGGATCCCTGGAAGGATTCCTGGGGCTTCTTAGCAACATGGTCCCTGCCTCCTGTGGATCTTTCCAGAGCAGGGAGTTCTTCCAGGTTCACCTCACTTTCCTTTCTTGCAAAATATTTTTTCTTTAATTATCAGCCTTTTTTTTTTTTTTTTAAGGTGAGGAGGCTGGTGGAGGCTTAACCTCTTCCCAGCTGTGACCTTGGGCAGATAGCTTATCTTTCTGAACCTGTTTCCTCATAATAAATAATAGTATTTACCTGCCAGGTTTGTTGGACAGATTTAATGAGAAAACATATTAAACACCACATAGTAGAACCTAAAAATCATTCCCAGAACTCATCCATTGCCTCTTTTCCTATCCTTGGCAGAGATGACAGTATTATTTATCATACTCAATAAAATATGCCTTTACCAAAAGATAATGTTCATTGTCACCCTTTCAGGAGCCCTGATGATGCAATGGTTAAGCGCTCTGCTGCTAACCAAAACGTGGGTGGTTCAAACCTATCTGGGGCTCCCCAGGAGAAAAGACCTGGCGATACGCTCCTTTAAAGATTACAGCCTAGAAAACCCCATGGGGCAGTTCTACTCGGTTGCTATCTGTCGGAATCAACTTGAGGGCGCACAGCAACAACGTCACCCTTTCACCTACTAGTTCGGTTTCTTAGACCTGACACCACCCCTCCCTCACTCCACATCTAATCCACCCTGTCCCCCTATCCCCCCATGTCCTGGTCAAGGAAAGCCACTCTCATCATTTACGTGGACACTGCTGCACCCTCATGGACTCCCCGCTTCAACTCTGACCTCTCAAACCTGTGTGCCACATGATTCAGATCATTTTATGCTACTACATAAAACCTTTGCTCTTAGAATGCAGACCAAACCTTCTAAAGGGATCCAAAACCCAGCTGCAATCTGCCTGCCCACTCACTCTTGCCACATTTTCCCTCTGTCATGACACTCTGACCTTCATCTAGCCCCTCCAACTTGCCATGGTTCCTCCACCACAGGGCCTTTGCATGTGCTATTCCTCCTGCTGGGATCATCTTCTGTCTCCTCTTGCCCTGAGTAGTTCTTATTCACCATTCAGATCTTCCTCAGAGAAGCTGCCCTGATCTCCCTGACCAGGTCAAGCCCCTATTAGCTCCATTGGCACCACGAACCTCTGTGTTCACCCTATGACTCAGTGAAATTTTCCATTTTATCTGTGTGGGGATAACTTGAGTCATGCCTGTCTCCCTCACCAGCCTGCTGGCCCCCCGAGAGCAGGGCTTTAGCTGCTTCTGCTCACTGGCAGTTGGCACAGGGCCTGGGACATAGTAGGTGCTCAATAGATATTTGGTGAGTGAATGCATGTATAGTATATGAATGAATGAATAAAGAATATCAATTCAGGAGTTAGGTCTTTCTTTCTGGCCTCTGTCCACATTCCTGTCCCCACCTCCACACCTGCCCTGGGAGAATTGTCTACTCCTTCTCTGAGTGCTCCTCCAGCCATGGCAGACAGGCAGGACTCTTGGGACTCTTGTTAGGCCCAAACACACCCCAGGGCTCACACGCCTGTCTGCTCCATCAGCCTGTTTGCTCCTTGAGGACCTCATTCTTCTGCCACCTCCTGCCTTGGCTTGGACTGGACCCCCCCCCCGAGCCTGCACAAAAGCTTGCTAAATGAACACAAGCATGAATAGAATGAATGCATTGATTAATTCATTCATGCGTAAGTGCAAGAGTAAACGACGGCCACCTCTCAGCTGGCCTGTGGAGGCCAGGGTCTGAGTGCAGAGTCTTCAGGGGAATCCACTGGATGCCCACCTTTCAGATCTAGGGTGCCCTGAGGCCCTCTAGAGATCTGCTCCCTGGTGCCCTGGTCTGGGGCCAGCATGGACTTTCCATTGCATGACCAGCAGCCACTCCCCCGTCAGGCCCAGGCTGATGGCCAAGGGCACTAGCGGGAAGCCAAGTGCCAGGGAGGGGTGTGGGCTGAGAGGGCAGAAATCTCCAGCTTGGGCACGGTGACAGAAAGGGGCAGTGGTACCAAAGGATAATGTAACATGTGTTCCCAATCTCCCTCCATCAAGGCTAGAATTTGCCAAGGGAGTGGCTCGGCAGGCTGGCACTCAGGGGCTGTGTATCCCCCCACCCCCACCCCCTCTTCACTATGCCTCTGGTCAGGCCTGCAGCCCCCTCCCACCTTTGCAGCAGAAAGACACACAGATCGTTTGGTCTAATCCTTTCTCCAAACAAAGACAGAGGCCCTTCCCAGCCCACCATGGTCTTCCTGTTTGCTTTGGATGCAGACCACAGGCCCAGCTGGCTGGAATCTTTATGCTTTGGGGAGGGCCTCTGGTCTTTAAAGTTGGCGCAGCAGGCAGCCTACTGCCTGGAAACAAGAGGTCCCTTCCCTGGGCACCATGCCAGCCAGGCTGGGGCGGGGGGCAGAGAGGGGGATGCTCCATAGCCTGCAGCTGCAGTCATACAGAGGAGTGCCTCTCTTACAGTCCCTACCTCGGCCCAGGTCTGGCCACCTCCACACCTCACCAGGCAGCAGTGGCAGTGCTGCCTCTTACCCGCCTCCCAGCCTTGCCAGCACACATTGGCAAACCTATCTTCCTAACAGTGTGGGAAGGATTCTCTTGCTCAAATCTGCTCCCTGGTTCCTCACTGCCTGTAGAATAAAACTTCAACTCTGGCTTGAGCCTCAAGAGCTTCTGTGAACTTGACCCTCTGGCCTCTCCTCTTTCCACTGCCCACTGTGGGCCCTTGGCATTTCCCTAAACCCTCTGGGCTTTTTCATATCTTTGTGCCTTTGCTCATCTTCCTCCTACTGCCAGAAATGCCTTTTCTCTCCCTCCTGTCAAACTCCTACTCCGCCTTCAAAACGCAGCTCAAAGGTCACTGCCTTCTTATTCGTGGTGCCCCGTATCCTCTATGCGTTTCCCCTGCCTCTGGCTCATACATCTATCACAGCACTTATCAAAAGATAATGTATGTGTTCGAAAGCCTGCCACAAGGCCTAAGCACCTAGAAAAAAAAACCAAACCAGTTCCCATTGAGTCGATTCCATTTCCTGGTGGCCCCATACGTTTCAGAGTAGAACTGCGCTCCATAGGATTTTCAATGGTTGTGACCTTTCGGAAGTAGATCACCAGGGCTTTCTTCTGAGGTTGTAGTCAAACCTCCAAGCTTTCAGTTAGTCCTGAGCACTTAACCACTGGTACCATCCAAGGACTCCTAGGCATCTGGAGGGAAGGCTAAATGCATGACAATGTTCGCAATCCTTGCCATGGCCTGCAGGTCTGGTATGATCCAGCCCTCAGTGATTTTTCTGGCCTCTTCATAAACTCTCTCCCACCCTGTCAGCCTCAGTACTCCGGCCCCACTGGCCTCTTTCAGTTCCTCAAACCCACCGCTCTCTCCCTCCTCCAGTCTCCCCACACAAGCTACTCCTTGGGCCTAGAAAGCTGTCAGCCCGCTCCTACCTACCACCCACTTGTCCTTGAGGCTCATCTTGGTGGTGCTGCCCCAGGGCTGCCCTCCCAGCACCACCCGGCACATGGCTAGTGCCATATTCTTCTCCTTCACTGCCTCAGGCCCGGTCATGGCTGATTATGTCCCTCCCCACCCCACAACTGAGAGCACCATGGGGGTAGCTCCCAGTCTATAGCATCCTCCACAGCAGGCACAGTACCCAGCACACAGCCGGCGGGCGATAAATGTTAGTGGAATGGATACATCAGTAATCAGAGAGAGAGCAATTAAAGATGGAACTCAGCGTAATTCAGGTCCTTAGTCTGCTGACTGGGCTCTTAGAACGTGCACACAAACCACTTCTGTGAGTTTTGACATATCTATGATCCTCCAGTGCATTATTAACTTATTAATTTTCTTTAACTTAATTTTTTTTTTTTTTTTACTTAGCCTTCTCCTGAGCAGTAATGACCATGAAATCACGGCTTGATGTTGTTGTTTTTTTTCTGCTATGTATTTAATGATTATTATTTAAAAACTGTTCATCTCCTCAAGAAAAGGTTTAAACACAGAAGAAAACATTCTTTGATGGCTTTGAGGGTGGGGAGGGAGGGTGAGGGTTATTTACTAACTACATAGTAGATAAGAATTATCTTAGGTGAAGGGATGGACAGCCCACACTACAGAGAAGTCAGCACAACTGGACTAAACCAAAGCTAAGAAGTTTCCTGAATACAGTCAAACACTTTGAGAGACAGAATAGCAGGGGTAGGGGTCTGGGGAGCATGCTTTCAGGGGACATCTAGGTCAGTTGGCATAATAAAGCTTATTAAGAAAATATTCTGCATTCTACTTTGATGAGTGGCTTCTGGGGTCTTAAAAGCTTGCAAGTGGCCATCTAAGATGCATCAGTTGGTCCCAGCCACCTGGAGTAAAGGAGAATGAAGAACACCAAAGACACAAGGAAAGCACTAGCTCAAGAGACAGAAAGGGCCACTTAAACCGGAGACCAAAAGACCTAGATGGTGCCCGGC